CAGATCGGAAAGAACAGCCAATTCATTACATTCAAATCAGCACAAACACACTTTGGGAAACAGGCAGTTACGGAGCAGCAGGGGGTATCTTTGGAAGGAACATATACTGAAAAGCGTGGAGACTCCACATCTAGAAAGACAACAATTTGTGCACACCCAGTTACTGGGATTACTTTGGGCAACATACAGTGTGGCTATTCCATTGTTTGATTGCCCAGTGCATGTCATATCTCACCCACAGGTGTTAACATTTGGCACATTGCATTTTAAGAATTAAGTGTTCCCTGCCTTTCATAACTGACCATTTAGGTTACATCATGAGGGTAAAAACTTCATTCAAACAATACTTAAATACAAGATGATGATATCTATGACATGCATCAATTTTTTTTAGGACTCACCCACCTTGTCAAACACAGCAGACAAAGCCATGGCCACTAGTGAACGTTTCCTTTGGCGAAAGTATGCATACTAATCATCGAATCATAGAAGATTCAATGCAATTAAGATAAGGACAGGTAAAAGCTTGATCAGTACAGAGCACATTGCTTAAAATTATGCATATGACCTTTATCATCAATAAAAATGTTTCAAGCTATTACAATTTATACTCCTGTCTTGTACTTCCACATGCTTCAATACCACCAGCAATTAATCAGTGAAATTAACCTCACATCCTTTCTACTTATTAATAAGGTATTCTGAAAACATACCAGTGCCTTAATCATACCAGTGCTAACATAAATTTTAGGTAATGTCACCATGGCACACTGTCCAGCATAAGGGTTTCAAAACTCCACCATCCCCATGTTGATTGTAATCTGTCAGGCATGCAGTGAAGGTACAGGTCATTGAATAAGTGACATACAAAATAAGGGCAACGATATCAATAACATAACTTTCATGCAGCATAACAATCATGCTTAAGGTAACACAACTGCAAGTTTGTTTGTTTAACCTCTACCAAACCATGTCCTGTGCAGTCTGGTAATTCAAGATAATCAATCAGACCTATGAAACAAATCAATTTACCCTTACAGGAATACTTTCGCTGATAAAATGCAGTAGCACCTGGGCAAAGGAGTTAAGTAACAATGCCTATAAGTGTGCATTTGCGATCGAATCACTAAGCAGGCAATGATGGCTGACACATTAGTGTACCTACTGCGTCTCGACCAGGTATGCCGTGGCCTGCAACCCCCGACGAACTATCATTAGGGGAAAGAAAATAAGTCTGACTAAAACATTTTTTAACCAACAGTAGTAAATCACTGTATGGCAATAGCGTAACTTATAAATGGCAGATCTAGGGGCCTCGAGGAAACCCTCCACGTCCACCCTACCCCATCCGCAAATGCGTCGCGGGAGTTGGTATGAGTTGCTATGTAAATAACCACGAGCTACCGCACTTCGCCTCTCGGCCAAGTAGGGAATGGACTTGGGCCGTGACGTCATAGGTAAGTCGGTAGTTACGTCATCCATCGACTGGGCTTACTCGAAGTAAGGAACGGGCTTCCATTTGGTCAGAAGAACGGGGCCCTGGTCTCACAGCCGGGTCTGACCCTTACGCTGTGCTGCCTTACAGACATGGGCCACGCGAGAACATGAATGGTACGACACAACAGACGCAACTGCGTCGCCACATTGGACGGAGTGGCATAAAAACCGACTCGGGAGAGCGGTTCCAACAGACGTGTCAGGCCCCGCGCCAGGGGACGCACCACCAAACGCACCGCCATCAAACCAGAGCTGCTTCAATACCAGAGCCTGTATTCAACAATTCCAGCTCTAGTACGGACCAAATTCCCGACGCAGCACCGACTTCAGGTTCAAACAGCATTTCTGTCCTCTTCTGAAGGCGCACCCATCACTGCAATCCGCGTGCCGAGGCCAAGAAGCGCCTTCCCCACAGATGTCGTCTCATCCCCCACCCCCAGCCGATATGTATCCGACCGTCAGAAGAAGTCTTCAGCTCTTCTCCACCACTCCTCGCGAGTCTCACCCTGGACTCAATTTCGCATGTCCCCACTCAGTGTCACGCGCCGTGACAAACACGCGCTCTCGCCGGCGTAGAAAACGGCCGTCCCGGTGACCGTTGACCGTAGCGGCCGGCCGGCCCACGCCTCCGGCGGTGGCTGCAGAGGCGGGCCCAGGTGAGCCCGTTAGTAACGCGCTATATTGCAATATGGGGAGGGGCCTTCCTTGTTAACTTCCCACTGCCTGTGAGTTTGTTTCATCGTATCTGATGCATGCTTTCATGGTTTCAAGTCTGGAGCATTCCTTTAAAGGTCGATAACTCAGGCATAACTTCGTACTCAGGTATGATCATTAAAGTTTTGTTTTTCATGTCAGTCGTTATTTTTATTTCATTATTTCAAATGCGCACTGTTGCTTCGTGAGTTAGTAAAAACATGCAGGAGCGAGGTATCCGCTACGATCGCTTATATCACGTGAATATCATTGGCAAGCTCGAGAAATTGAAAAGTAGATCGAGCAATTGTGAATGGTCGCCACTAAGAAAGATTTTAAAGAGAATTTGATGTTGTGCGAAAGGAATAGGTATTCGCGGCATTTCGCTATTGCTTAAGTTTGTTGCACTCAATACCAGTGTTTGCCCTAATGTGGATAATTGCACGGCTACGAGCAGGGACGAGGGCGATGCAAATATGTGTGATTTTGGGCGAGTATATACTGTGTCCGGCTCGCAGACAAGCCAACACCTTCTTCGCCAAAAGGCCTTTACGATACATTGATGGCTAAAGTGTCATGCAGAAATTTATGTCATGAAGCAGCGTTCTAGTGTTGTTTGTCCATTGTCGTAGTCAAACATGTCTTATCATTGTCAGAGTTGAAGACGAATACATTTAGAACGAACGGGGATTTATGTGATGTTAAAGGATCAAAGCTTCTTGAGTCAATGAACTTGCCCGTTTAATGCCCCATGATGTTTATATAACCTGGAATACACAGAAAATATAATACAAGATTTAATGGCCAAAGTCATGTCTTGTGAGTGTAAGATATGGTATATGTAGGTAATATATGAATGTCCTGTGAGCGTAATATATGATGCAGATTGATGAGGTGGACACGGAAGTGGGGAGTAACGTCTGGGTAGTTAAGCGATTTTACATCTGCCATGTAACCCGGACAGATCGCAATTGTGCTCGGAGAATGAATGTGTTGCTGACGATGTTGAAACGCAAGGAGAAGAGCAAGCAGCTCTACCAAGTAAACGGAGGTACCATTTGATAACCGACAATTTTTAAAGCAACCTCCGTAATAAATAAATGAACATTCAGGGTGGTCATTCAACCTAGAACCATCGGTGTACACAACACAATTCTTTGAATGAATGCCAATCGGATTATTCAACGTTTGTTAAATATAATCTGACGAACAGTTTGAGATCTTTAGGAAGGTGCTCGGATGTAACTTATAGTGCTACAGTAGACTGAGTTTGTTTGTTGTTTGTTTCTTTGCGAGCCTGCGGCACTTTCGTTACACATCGCAAAATGTATTCCTTTCGTCGGATAGCTGGGAGCATAACGTTGGCGTCCATTCCAAACGCTGAAATTGGAGACGTACGCAATGCTCCCTGTATAATCCGCAATAACGTGTTTTGGATGGTAGCCAGAGGCCGAAGAGCGTGCTCATTGCTCCCCTGCATAAGCCATGGAGCCGTATTTAATGATAAGAGCCAAAATGTATGCAAACGTGCTTAAGTGTGGCGGTCGGCACCGTACAGTGACCCTAGAGATGCGTCGGACGAAATTCAGTGTTTTGAAGCGTTTGGAACACATGCTCCACGCACGTCGGCACTGAATCTTAGGGCAAGTGCGATACCGATGAGCTTAAAAAGAAAACAAAGAGTATAATCTGATCCAACAATGACTGAAAAGTGCACAATATGTGGCATACTCCCGAAAATGCAAATGACGTTTGCCACAGGCGGCTTAGATAAATTCGCATGCTGGAAACGCAAGCATACTTTTGTGAGAGCCGCATAACTCCAGAAAATCATTTTATTAAAATGCAGCTGCAGAAAAATTCCTTCCTGCTCGTGGAATTTCGCCTCCCCAGTGAAAATAATGTTGAAGTGACCGAACAATCTTGGGCAGCTAGCTGGAAAGCCGCACTTGCCGAATGACAAAGGTGAGTCGAACGGGTAAGATTGTGCATCGGTGAGAAACAGCCGTAGAGAGAGAGAGAGAGAGAGAGAGAGAGAGAGAGAGAGAGAGAGAGACTATATAGATATATATATATATATATATATATATATATATATATATATCTGGCATTGCAGCCATGACATTTCATCCACTTCCAAAACTTGTTACGTTAATTATTAGCGGACAAGACCTCCACATCTACCAGCCCCCCCCCCCTCCCCGTCGGTCACTGGATTTCCTTCCCAGCAAAAGTTCCTGAATATACCATCAGCCTGGCCCCCACTTTCTGAAGTGTTCCAACGCCTATGCCTGCGCACATCCAACATCCTATATAATCATGACCCGGCTTAAGGGTCACATTAAGCTAAACTTCTATGGGGCGGGAGTGTGCCAGATCATTCCGTGCGAATTCGTCAGCACAGCCTGCGGCACTGGGCGCCGCTCGTTCACTGGAACCTGACCGTGAACGTCTACCAGTGGTAAGCGGGCGACCTATAAAAGGGAAAGGAGCTCAAAAGTAGGCACCACTTGTACTGCACACCGGCCATCAGAACACACCATGCAGGTAAGGGCTGGGATGATGCGGTTGGTGTGGTGTCCTGTTAGCTGCTTGGAGCGATAATTTTTAGCAAAGTGAACTGCAGTTAAAGGAGTGAGAAATGTATTGCATGGGTACCGAGGTCATCAGATTTATCTCAGCAAAACATGCGCTATAAAAATGGCTGCCGCTTCCGTGACATGCCCCCTATGTCATTGCAGGCTTTCCTCGTTGCCGCCGTGCTGGCTGTCGCTGCCGCCGCCCCGGCGCTGGAGACGCCGGGCTACAAGCCCGCTCCGTCCCCCTACCACCCTGCCCCGTCCTACAAGCCGGTCTCTAGCCACCCGGAGCCCCAGTACAAGGAGGAGATCAAGCCGTTCGCTTACGAGTACGCCGTCAACGACGACTACACCGGCACCAACTTCGCCAAGAGGGAGGAGAGCGATGGCCACAACACCCAGGGATATTACTCGGTGGCTCTGCCCGACGGCCGTATCCAGCACGTCAACTACGTCGTCGACAACTACGGCGACTACAGCGCTGAGGTCACCTACGAGGGAGAGGCCCATTACCCCCGAATACCACCCTGCCCCCTGCCTACAAGACTGCTGCCCCGGCTTACAAGCCTACCTACAGCCATCCCGCTCCGGCCTACAGCCTGTCCACAAACCCGTTTACAGCTCTCCCCGCTCCGGCCCACAAGCCTGTCCACAATTCTGGCTACAGCCATCCTGCCCCTGCCTACAAGGTTGCTGTTCCGGCCTACAAGCCTATCCACACACCCGTTTACAGCTCTCCCGCTCCAGCCTACAAGCCTGCCCACAATTCTGGCTACAGCCATCCTGCCCCTGCCTACAAAGTTGCTGTTCCGGCCTACAAGCCTGTCCACAAGCCCGTATACAGCTCTCCCGCTCTGGCCTACAAGCCTGTCCACAAGTCTGACTACAGCCATCCTGCCCCTGCCTACAAGGTTGCTGCTCCGGCCTACAAGCCTGTCCACAAGTCCGTATACAGCTCTCCCCGCCCCGGCTTTCAAGCCAGCGACGTATTAGTCACAGGGTGAGAACGGTTCCTTATGTTTTTTTCTTACTGTGCAGGTTACGGCACTTGTCGCTTCCTCACCAGCTGCATTTTAATAAAATGATTTGTTCGAGTTATGCGGCTCTGACAAAAGTATTCTTGCGTTTCCAGCATGCGACTTTATCTGATCCGGCTGTGGCAAACGTCATTTGCATTTTCGGGAGCATGCCACATTTTGTGCACTTTTCAGTTCTTGTTGGGTCAGACTGTACTCTTTTTGTTCTATTTTTTAAGCTCACCGGCATCGCACTGGCCCTAAGATTCAGTGCCAACGTGCGTGGAGCATGCTCATTCTAAACGCTTCAAAACACTGAATTTCGTCCCCCGCATCTCTGGGTCACTGTACGGTGCCGACCGCCATACTTAAGCACGTTTACACAAATTTTTGGCTCTTCTTATCATTAAATACGGCACGTGGCACATGCAGGGGAGCAATGAACACGCTCTTCAGTCTCTGGCTGCCATCCGAAACACGTTATTGCGGATTACACAAGGAGTATTGCGTACGTCTCCATTTGCAGCGCTTGGGGTGGAAGCCCACGTTATAATTCTAGCTATCCGACGCAAGGAACTCATTTTATCATATGTAGCAAAAGTGCAGCAAACTCGCAACTAACAACAAGCAAACTATGGTAACACTATTAATTAAACTCAGCCACGGTCCTAAAAATATCAAACAGTTCGTCACAACAGGTTATTTTTAACGAACGTTGAATAAATTCATTGTCATTCATTAAGAAAACTGTGCTGTGTACGCCGATGCTTCTAGGTTAAATGATCACCCTAAATGTTCAGCAATTTATGACGACGGAATTACTAATGGGCTTACCTGGGCCCGCCTCTGCGGCCACCCGCCGGAGCCGTGGGCCGGCCGGCCGCCACGGGCAGCGGTCACTGGGACAGCCGTTTTCTGACGCCGGCGAGAGCGCGTGTTTGTCTCGGCGCGTGACAGCGAGTGGGAGCATGCGAAGTTGAGTACAGGGTGAAATTCGCGTGGGTTGGTGGAGAAGAGGTGGAAGACTTCTTCTGACGGATGGATGCATATCGGATGGGGGTGGGGGATGAGGCGATATCTGTGGGGAAGGTGCTTCTTGGCCTCGGCACGCGGATTGCGGTGATGGGTGCGCTTTCAGAAGAGGACAGAAATGCTGTTTGGAACCTGAGGTCGGTGCTGTGTCGGGAATTTGGTCCGTACTAGAGCTGGAATTGTTGAATACAGGCTCTGGTACGGAAGTGGTTATGATGCAGTGCACTTGCTTGATCACCGACGCATGCAACGCTCCGAGACATAAGGTACGTTTCTTTCCAACTTTGATTTTTCTTTGGTGGTGCGTCCCCTGGCTCGGGGCCTGACACGTCTGTTGGAGCCGCTCTCTTGAGTCGGTTTTTTATGTCACTCTGTCCGAGTTGGCAGCGCAGTTGCGTCTGTTGTATTGCACCATTCATGTCCTGGCGTGGGCCGTGTCTGAAGGCGGCACAACGTGAGGATGAGTCAGACCTGGCTGTACCACCAGGCGTCGGCACTCACCCTATCTGAACGGCGGACGGCAAAGCGCTCGTCGGATCGCCTCTCGACAGCGTCTCCCACCTGGTGCGGCCGGACCGAGCCGCTCCGAGCCTCGTCGGCGGCCGGCGGCGGGCCGACCGCGCCGCGTCGGCGTCGGCGGCCACGCGGACAGCGCGCGCCCGCTCCCCGTCCCCTGTCTCGCGGAAGGGAGAAGCGGTATGTGACCTTTCGGTCGGTCACGCTGGAGCGGATCGCTGCACTTGGCCGTTTCGGCGCCGCTATGATTCTGTTCACACCAGCAGACAATGGGAGCTCACAGCTGCACGGCAAAAGCTGTGTGATTACTCATTGCCGCCTGCAGGGAGGTCGGCGCCGGGAGAGGGTGTTATAGCCGCCGTGATCTCGGAGCACCGTCATCATGGTCTGCAGCGGAACAAGGAACTGACGCGTCCGCAACGAACCGGGCATAAAATGAAATTATGTCACTTATAACTATTGATCTGCTTTTAAATGGGAAGGATCCTCTAGGCAGCACAATTTCTCCATTTAGTAAACATGCTCCTTAATTCGGCAGTGTTTGATTGCGTCATGGAACGTTTGTATGGCGTTGTCGCGCCACCAAACTATCCGTCGAAATTTGCAGTTACTTGTAGTACTTCAAGCTCGGCAAGAGATGGCAGTACGGGCGATAATTGTCTAGCTAACCCATTGTCCTTCTGGGCTCGTCATATTAAGTTATTCGATTGCAAGTCTTAATTTTGTGATAGCTAGCCCGTAAAGAAACCACATCCAACTTCCTAAATTAAGAGGCATAAAGCGTGCTTTCCGATTGAAGCTTGTGCAGCTTGCAAGTTGTTCAGTGCATTTTCGAGTGACATTATTCACCTAGATAAGACAGTAGTAATAGACTTATTCCCCGGAGAAATGCCGGGAGAATGAAAATATTGATGGGTTGATATTTTGGCAACATGCCTTCATCGAAATATGAACCCATCTACATCTCTATTCTCCTGATTTTTCTCTGAGGAATGAGACTATTACTACTGCCTTATTCTGCGCAACTAGCTTAAAATTGTTTGAGAGCGAATTGACGTCCATTTTATTTGGAAACCGCGATCACGGACTGTAGACAGGTCCGAACGGCTGTACAATAATATTCTTCTTCGCCTTGAACACCGCCTGGCCTGTGGGGCGGCAGGAATCACATGACCATTTTATAGCGTCATGCATGCCTGAATGGCTTTGAAATAGTCTGCACGAAAAAGTCTGCATATCTTCGCGGGCGTATAGCTCAGAAACCAGAGGTCTTTGGGTGCGGCCAGAAGGTCAGGGCCGCGAACTGCATCGAATAATCTATAAAATAGCTATTTCAGCTAAGACCAGAAATGAAGATGGAACGCTCACTTTAATATATCAAAATGTGATGGCTTAAAAAGTTTTCTGGCAGAAATTGATTGCGTAAGCTGTAAAGTGCATTTGCGAGGAACATTTTACAAATAGATAAGACAGTATCATTAGCCTTATTCTACTTAGAGTAACCGGGACAAAGAAGATATAGGTGCATTGATATTCCAGTTACATGGGTGTATGGGAACAGACATGAGTAGTGAATTCAAAATTCCACGCTAATTCCATTTGATTTTTTTTCTTAAACAGCGAGTCGGATTGTTTACAACTCACCAACATTCAGTGTATTGAGCATTGCCAACCATTATCACGATGCAGTGTATATCCAACTTCGGATTAAAATGCGCGAAAAATATCTGCACGCAAACGAATTCAGATAAACAGGTATCATGCATCACACATCACTTATACATGCAAACAATTTCAAGTGAATAGGCCTCAAGCATCACGCATCAGACATCGCACATACATATTAACGATTGTAAGCTAGTACGCATCTAACGCACTACGCACAGTACGCACAAACATTTTGAAGATGATTTAGTACAGCTCGCATGCTGCCCCTTACACCCTTGTCCACTCTATTTTCTGACCTATACGCCCGCGATGATGTGCTCAGTATTTTGGGTGAGACTGTGTCGGGGTAGCCCGGGCATCCATGATATCATGATTTTTTTCCTTTCAGCTTGCTTTCCACTCCAGAAAACAACTTCGGCGTGTGGGTCAGCTTGACCTCCACCCGAGCGCGTGCGAATGTATGGGTCTAAAATAGGTCTGAAATGATAGCATGCATGTGCAATAGCTCAACACGCGCTTGGGTCGGAGCCACTTTGACCCCCCAAGGTTTTCCAGAATGGTTTTCGAGCGGCGCGGCAAACGGGTGCCACATTTTGCATAGCTGTGTTAGATTGAATGGTAGATCGATTGCTATCAAATATTGAAATGCATTTAGATGGATGAGCAATGTATTATAGTGGGCTTTTCGGACTGGATCACTAGCTGGGCGGGGCGGGCTGGGCTGCGGGCTGATATACTGGAGAACCTTGCGTCTCTTATCCGTATGTTTGAGACCATGAGACCATAATCCTTCAGAAGGGCTGCTCGATGTTGGAGTCGTACAGCAGCATTTCCTCAACACATTTGTACATCATCTCAGCGCCACCAGTGAAGTCATCACGCTCGGTTGCAGCTCTGCCTGGTCGTGTGATGCGTGTGAGGTGTGGGTTTCTTTCCGCGATCTGATGCCTAAATGGTGACGACTGGTGTTCGAAAATCCCGTTCCCATTCCCTTTTAGTCCGGTGTATTTTCCGCACGCGATTTCTGTCAACTCAAACTATGGTCGGCTTGGCACCATGACTTGTGGAACTTATTGGCTGTACGTCCCGTGACATGTGTGACGTACGCAGTGGCGGCCCGGGCAACCCTGACAATTACGGTTGGGCTGAGTGCTGGGAACGTTGTGTCAGTCTCACACCTTTCTGCCTGGAACGGTCGTGGAGTTAGTACAGAAAGGAGCAAGCGAGTTGTTCTTCATTCCAATCAGGTTATCGCGAGGTAGAAAATTTTGAAAAAAATCAAGCACTTGCTACCCGTTTTTCGGGGAATTTGGGCACAACCATTACCAAATACAAATTGATTGGGTGAGAAAAAAGTTACAATTGGGTACGAATCGCTTGTCAGCGTAACCATCATGATGGTTTTTTCTAACAACTGATGAAAAGATGGCTCATCGCACCAAGCGATCTAGGTGCCCGGAAACCAGGAGGAGCGGGGAACAGAGCCCCTCTACCAAGTTTCTGAATATTTAGCATGGTTCCTCTTCCGGTGATCTGACTAAAGTGGCCCTCTCTCCCACGCATCCACATCCCAGCTTAGAACGCCCACTGGGACCGCATCAATATGCCATGCAAAGGCCAATTCCTTAACACAGTCGCATCAATGAAATTATCCCACTGGAAAACGCATGATCGCTTCAGTCAACACCACGTGGTCCATAGCTCATAGTTTGTTATTCCAGATCGTAGTCCCTTGTATTGAAATACGGCTGGTCGAAAATCATCACAACACAACACTCATGCATTTAAAAAGGAAGTCATTCTCAGTGGTTTCCTAGTATGCTGCAGCCTTGTATGCCGGGGTGGGAGAGCTGTAAGCAGGCTTGTAAACGGGCTTGTAGGCTGGGGGAGCGGCCTTGTAGGCAGGAGCGACAGCTCTATAGGCAGGAGCGGCAGCTTTGTAGGCGGGAGCGACAGCCCTGTAGGCAGGAGCAAGAGCTTTGTAGGCAGGGGCGACAGCCTTGTAGGCAGGGACAGGAGCCTTATAGGCCGGAGCGGCAGCCCTGTAGGCTGGGGCGGCAGCCTTGTAGGCAGGAGCCGGGTGGTACTCGGGGAACTGGGCCTCTCCCTCGTAGGTGACCTCAGCGTTGTAGCCGCCGTAGTTGTCGGTGACGTACTTCACGTGCTGGACACGGCCGTCGGGCAAAGCCACCGAATTGATGTCCACTATGTTTGGAAACCGCGCTCACGGAAACCAGATCTGAACGGCTGTACGAAAATATTCTTCGTTGTCTTGAACACCGCCTGGCCTGCGGAACGGCAGGATTTGAATGACCCTTCTGTGACGTCATGCATGCCTGAATGGCCTTGAAATAGTCTGCACGAAAAAGTCTGTATATCTTCGCGGGCGTATAGCTCCGAAACCAGAGGGCTTTAGGTGTTAAGATGGTCAGGCCGGTGAACTGAACGGAATAATCTTCAAACAGCTATTACAGTTAAGCCCAGAAATAAAGGTGGAACACCCGCTTTAATAAATCAGAATGTGCTGACTAAACGACTTGTTCTGCCAGACATTGATTGCGTAAGTTGTTACGTGCATTTGCGAGGAGCATTTTACACGTAGATAAGACCATACCATCAGCCTTATTATACGTAGAGCAACCAGAAGGAAGGTGATACAGATGCATTGACATTTCAGATACATGCGTTTATTCACACAAATATGAGTATTTAATTTAAAATTGCATGCCGATTTCACTTATTTTTTTTTCTTTTTTTAGACAGCGAGTCATATTTTTGACAATTCACTAACCTTCAGGATAAGGAGCATTGCCAACCATTATCACGATGTCGTGTATATCCAGCTTCGGATTAAAATGCGCGAAAATAATCCGTACACGCAAACGAATTCAAACAAACAGGCATCACGCGTCACGCATGACTGATGCATGCGAACGAATTCAAGTGAATAGGTTACAAGCACCACGCATCAGACCGCTCACGCACACTAGGGACTTAAAGCTAGCACGTATCACGCTTGAAGGCACTGAATACATTCGCATAATTGGTCATAGAAGCCCTGTATGTTAGGATTTCGTCACTGATTTTTTGTAAGAATCTATCTACCTATTTTGCTGTCTGGATAGCCCTGTGCTTCCTAGAGGACTTTGACACTTAAAAGAGGTGTATTATCCATACCCTTGGGTTTCAGCCTGAGTGTGATTGTCTGAAAATGGTCGCCGAAATGAATGCATGCATGAATGAATAATGCGTTATGTGTGGTGATTGTTTACTTCAGTTCATTTGCATGTACACACATTTTTGCGTATTTCTGTCGTTAGTTGGAT